GTAATCGAAAGAGAAGACGTTTTTAAGCTACTGTAAAGAATGATTACTGGAAAAGATGAGGAGGAGTGGGGATACGGTATTAACATCAATGGCGAGTACATCACTCACCTTCGATTTGCCGACGATATAGTCCTTATGACAGAATCGCTGAAGGACCTAAGCGCTATTCTCAATGACCTCAATAGTGCCTTCCAACGGATAGATCCTAAGATGAACATGGACAAAACAAAGATCATGTTTAATGTCCATGTAACACCTATGCCGGTAGTTGTTGGGAGCACTAAGCTCGAAGTTGTTGACGAGTACGTTTACCTGGGACAAATAGTCCGACTGGGTAAGTCCAACTTCTACCGAGAGGTCAATCGACGGATTCAACTCGGCTGGGCAGCGTTCGGGAAATTACGACATATCTTCTCGTCAGGTATACCTTAATCTCTAAAAACTAGATTGTACAACCAGTGCGTGTTGCCAGTGATGACTTACGGATCTGAGACGTGGTCCTTCACTGCTGGCCGTATGAGGATGCTCTGTAATGATGACGAATGATGATGATGAGGTAAGTCCAAATTCGACCGAGAGGTCAATCGACGGATTCAACTCGGCTGGGCATCGTTCGGGAAATTAAGTTACATCTTCTCGTCAGGTTTACCTCAAAACCTGAAAACTAAATTGTACAACCAGTGCGTGTTGCCAGTGATGAAATATGGAGCTGAGACGTGGTCCTTCACTGCTGGCCGTATGAGGACACTTAAAGTCGCTCAGCGAGCTATGGAGAGGGCTATGCTCGGGGTTTCTCTGCGTGATAAACTTAGAAATGAGGATATCCGTAGTAGAACCAGAGTGACCGACATAGCCCAACGGATTAGTAAACTGAAGTGGCAATGTCTCGGCCATATAGCTCGAAGAACCGACAACCGTTGGGGAAAAAAGGTTCTCGAGTGGCAGCCTCGTACCGGTAGGCGTAGTGTAAGGCGACCCCCCACTAGATGGAGTGACGACCTGGTAAGACATGCAGGAAGTCGATGGATGCAGGTGGCTCAGGACCGTGCTTTGTGGCATACTTTGGGGGAGGCCTATGTTCAGCAGTGGACTTGTGAAGGGCTGTAATGATGATGATGATGATGAATGTTGTAAAGAGCAATAAACACACCGATATCGTGGATATACACTTAAAATAATGATCTAGAATTTATTAAATAGTAAGACGACTTTTATTATAATTGGATAAGAGAGAATAAACGCAATTGAAATTTTATAAGAAATCTTCCTATATTTAAATTTTAATGTATGTATCACAGAGTACCTTTGTATAAACTGAAAGTATGAATGCATTCATGTAAATACATTCACTACCTATGTGGTAGAATCAAATGAATAATTTAGAATTTACTTATTTAATCGGAAATCCCTCGGTTAACAAAAAACAGAGTAGGTAGAAAACAATTAAGCAATAGGAAACCATTTATGGGTTTTTGCAAATAGTGGCACTATATAAATAATTGCATGCGGTGAGTTACCGACAGCTAATAGGACTCTGTCGCACTAACCTACCTACTACCTAGGTAGTAAGTAAGCAAACATTCAAAAATAATAAATAAATTCGAATTTAGCCATGTTTAGATCTGTCTTTCTGATATGAAGCCAATACAATATCACTACCACTACTAATACAAAAATATGTATATTTATCTTTACATGTAGAAATAACATACTTATTGTGAAAGATCTTTTTTAATTTATTACATAACATATTTTTTATTACATTACTTTATACGTCAGTAGTAATGATCTACATTTTACATTAATTATATTAAATTGTAAATTCAATAAATAACTGTTAATTTTGCGTATCTGGTAATAAAAAGATCTAATGTATTATCTCAAGTAAAGCATTGAAGTGCTAAGTTGTTTTCATTGCTATCAACTTCAAACTTTATATTGTAAAAAAAAATGTAAATTGCTTTATTGAGACTTTTTGATTTTAAAGGAACCGCTTCAAACGTAGCATAGGCGCATGCGTAGTACAGGTAAGTCTGTATAAATATGTAGCTAAATAAAAATTGTTAATTAAACCAAAAATAGATACATATTTGATAGAAGAACGTATCTTATCAAGGAAGAAACATTATTGACTATAAAAAGACCAATAATAACGAAAGAAATTATAAATTGGAGTGGGGGGGGGCTAACTATAAGGCAGATTTTTAATTAATTTTTTATAAATAAATTATTGACAAACAATCATTCATAGAGAACAATCAAGAACAAACTACGAACAAACGATATGCGATAACGAAATTTGAGAAAAAAATGGGGGGCTAACTTCAGTGAGCCCACATTTTCAACTATTCACCTATGGGAGATTGTCCTCATTACCTCTATATTCCATGTATATTCCATGTTCTCCGTCTAGGGCTCATGTAACCGAACCCTCATGTAACAGAACTCTTTATGCATATGACATTTAACCGAAACCTCATGTAACCGAACTCTTTATGCATATGACATTTCCTACAGGATAACAAAGGATGGTTATATGAATGTCACCATCTCTCCTTTGCAATGTTGTAGATAGACGTTCTTTAGCGTAGACAGAGCTGTCTACGTTTTTTAGGTTTTTTTATATAGCTTAGACAATTCTAGTGATGTTAACTATATAAAAGAGCAGCCTTATACCCGTTTTATCTTACGTTTTCAATAGTTATTAAGTTTGGATACCAACTAAGGGAACACCTGCTATGGACGAAGTGTTCAGCGATGGAACTTAAAAACGTTTTTGATTTGGAATCAATTTTGCTAAATTTAGTCTCAATTGTGGTGAATTTTGTAATTCAGATCGATCGTGATATAAAGTTAAAATATATCATAAAACCCACTAAGGAAAATTTTATTTGCCAAATTTGGCAGCGCTTTTTCATCAGCTTTACATTAATTAGGTGTAAGTAATTTCAAACAAAATATTTATTTGCCCTTTACAAAGAAAATAAAACCAATTTAACTGTATTGAAATAACTTTTAAATTGTTTATTGTATCTTATATCTATATTACTCATTTTATTTAGTAAAATCTTTATACCTGCCACAGTTTCTCAAATCAAGCCTTAACTGGTAGAGAATGCCATAATACAATAAGTCGGCGTTTTATATCTCTCATTATAAGCTGTGTAAAAAAAGACGAAATAAATAAATAAAATACTAATTGGTACCCTTAACAAGAAGCTGACTGTGACAAAACATGTAAATACAATAGAACAAAAAGCTTAAATATTCAAAGATTTGTTCTACAACGCGGTCACATTAACTTGACGCATGGCTTTGATGACCTCATTTACAACAGTGTAACAGAGATGCTAACCATACTGAAGATTGCCGGGCGAGCTAAGGGAGTGCGGGGGCTAGCGGGCGGGGCCTCGCATTCCAGCGATGCGTCAAGTGAATGTGACCGCAATATACGTATACTTGCAAACTTTTCGGACATAAACTGCATCAAAAGTGTTTATTACGCTTGTAATATTTGTTTCCCCTATTATATTACGCATAAATAACAATTTAAAAGAATTCAGACAAAGTTTATAAGGCATTTTAATTATAGATTTACTTTAAATGGTGCCGTCACAGTTTAAAAATTCGGAAATACCCGATTGTTTACAATATTCAAGAGCATCTGCTACTAACTCATTAATTCCGTAGCTAGTCGGAATTTCATTTTTTGTTTTACAAAATTGATGTTTTCATTTTTTAATTTATTCGCTAAATAAAGACCTTCGTTATACTGAATTTGGTTAAGTAATTCTATACAACGCCAATCAATATTTTTACCGTGAATGTCTATCATCCTCTTTTTATTCCCGAATGTATTTCTAACTAATTTAATGTTATGGCACGGGTCCGGCTAAATACAAATATCTCACCCATCATAGTTAAAACCGTAGGTCATAGAAGAAATGTCACAGCCAAGGTAATAACACATTGCTTTGCAAAAAAAAGTTACTTTCAATAAATATTGTTATAATCTACATTAAATAAAAAAGTTTCTGTTTCTGTTTCTGCTTTGTTTGTTCTCGCTCCGTCAAAGGTCACTGACACAAGCTGAACTCCACATTCTTTTAATAATGATAACCGTTGCTGCAAAAAAGTAGCTTTTTCCTTAGCGGTAATAGATTCAATTAAAAAAATAACCTACTGGAATTTTCCACGTATCATTAACAGAGGTAAGCATGATAGTTAATTCTTCCTTAGCTACTTCAATTTTATCTGAATTTAAAGTACAACCAATATTAACGTATCCAAAATTTATTATTTGAAAAAAAATATTTGAAATATTTGAAATAACTATTCAATATTTCAAATAATTTTTAATGGCCATCTGGTCCATGTCATATCAATCATAATAAATGAGCATGTCATGTCCAGGGTTGCCAACAGTAAAAAATATTTCCTCGTACTTAGGCAGCTAAAAATCTCGTATTTTGACTTTCAAACCTCGTACATTTACTATGCATCGAAAACGTGCTAAACCAAAATTAATGTATATTGAACTACTGGATTTAGGACTTTTTCTCAATGAAATAAACTATTGCAAGTTTATAAGTATTTAAAAAAACCTTTATTATTACTCAAGTAAAATCACAAAAAAAAAAACTAAATGTGGCTATATTATTACGACAATTAAAATGTAACAAAAAAGGTAAAGGTAACTTAGTTTACATCTCCTCTCCAAATATTATGTCAGGAACATCCTCACTGTCATCGTTTTTTCTGCCGTATATTTTATCTTTTGTCATGCGACTATACATTTCTTTTGTGGGCTCAAAATTGACGCAGTTTCCAGTACGAGTTGAACCCTTTGCGCTCTCTGCAGCAAGAAGTGTGCCGTTCACTGTTTCCACAGTTAGCCGGTTTCGTATTTCTGTCTTTATTAAATTGATTTTACTAAAAACCCGCTCGCAGTCAGCATTCGCATGGGGTAGGGACAGTGTAGATAGGGCAAAATGAGCTAGCTAGGAAAAGTCTTCAGTTTTCAGTAATTGAGCCCAAAACTTATCTGGCTCACTAATTTCATTCAACCCTTTAGGATGACGAGCTTGTGCATTTGGCAAACTCCTCCATTGATTGTCGATTATTTGTTTCTTTGCATGATCAGCTGTTGCGATTATTCGGGGGACCACTTCCATAAGAGGCATAAGTGTAGGGAAATTGCTCCTAAAATTGTAGGAGAGTGCAGATGCAGGCTCAAAAACTTGTAGCTTTGACAAGACAGGATCTTCCATGTTATATCGTTTTTTAATTTCGATGGCTGCAACTTTGTAGAAATTTTTGCAGCATGAGAAGAACTGAGCGATATCTGTGGGCTGTCTGATCACATCTGGATGTTTCAAGAGCTCATACACTTTGACACCAAGATACAGTGCATTGTCATGGAGCTGATGTCGCTGACTTTCAGGGTTTATTTCACCAAGATTTGGCCTCATGACATATTCGCGTTGTAAATAACGCAATAGGATTTCCTGATAGAGTGTACGAATTTTCTCATGTAGATTGTGAACAACTACTTTCTCGCTTTGAAATTCCAGATTGAACTTATTGAATAAAGGGAGCGACCATTCAAGGAAACAGAAATAAAGTTTGTAGAATGGGTTGCTGAGTTTTTCGAGAATAAATACTGCTCGATTTCTTACATCGGCTCTTGCTCTATGTGCACGATTTGTCGTAAAATCGATAAAAAAAAGACGTAGGGCTTCCCATTGCTCTAATATCCTTTCAACCACTGATAATAAGGAAAGCCATCTTGTCTGTGATGGTTTCAGTATTTTGTGAGGCTCCACTGCAGCAAACGACTGGAAGTTACGAAAATCAAATAGCCGTTTATCACTATGTTTAAAAAAGTTGTAGATATCTCTAGCCAGTTGTTCTACACCTTCAGGCAGCTGTTTACAGGCTTCACTGGCACACAAATGGGCCGAATGACAAACGCACTTCGTGATTATGATTCCTGGAAAATCGCGTAATAACCTTGTTTTCACTGAGTCGTTATCACCCATCATGACATTACACCCATCTGAGCCAAAGCCGATCACATTTGTTAATGGAACATTACGGTTAGTAAATGAATCAATAAGAGCTCTGTATAAATTCTCGGCATTGGCAGTAGGAATATCAACAGCATCAGGTGTTTCCTTAAAAACTTTGTACAGCTCCCAAAATGCGCTACATATCTTTTGAGCTTCTTGATCAAAATAGCGTACCACAACGCAAGCAATTTTGACCGTAGAAACATCGGTCGTCTCGTCCGTCATCACCGAAAACTGATTTTTTTTGTAGTTTTTGGGCTAAATCTGCCTTATGACCTTCTCCGAGAACGTTCTTTATCACACCTGTAATTTTGGTTCGTTTAAGTTCAATTTCCTTGATTAATTTAGAATCCGTCACAACTTCTTTTAATAAATCTGTCAAATGGTCAGCAACCGAGAATGCAATATTGTGCTCCGCAAAAAAAGCAGAAAGTTTAATTTATGCACGAGCTTTTTCTCTATTTTGTGGAGTTATACCTCTTTGGAATCCAAGCGATGTTAATGTTTGTGTTTTTCCACTGGATCCGGGTTTGTTGCCTAGGTGTTTCTTGGTAGAGGCATGAGTTTTTAAATTGGATAGTTCAGCTACCATTGATGTTCCCGGGCAATATACACATTTAGCTTTTGTTAAATCATTGGTGTCTGGCAAAAGCCAGTCTTTAAAAGTCGGGTCGTTTAACCATTGCTGTCTAAAATTTTGTACACGATGTTGCGATAATGCGTTACCTTCCTTTTTTCTTGTCCAAGCACCTTTTTTGGGTAATTTTCTAGGCGGAGTCAAAGTAGGCGAACGGTCACTGTTTACGTCATTATCACTCATTACGATACTTCTATTATACCACTAAACAATGGTCCAAACAACGTAAAGACTAGGTATTTAACAATAAAATCTTCTTTTTTTACAAAAACTTCAATTAGCTCCACGTAATATTGTAGCACAACTAAACACGGCCGGCATGCAACGAATGGAACACGTAAAGAACAGAGAAAGTTGCGCTATGTGTGACATAGACGACTAATGCGAAGAACGAAATGTTTTGGTCGGGGATTTCCGTTACCCGGTTGACGGTACATACAAAGTCTACATAATTTTTTTTATTCCTTTCGTCCCTATTTGGGACAGGCAAAGGGAGCTGAGCCGATACAGCCAAGTCTGATTTAGGCTACCATAGACAATCATCGCGTAAATGCGGCAATTAAATTTTTGGTGTAAGAAGTTCCTTCAAGTTCTGATAGATGGTACTAGTTTTTACTATTTTATAATAGTGGTGCAAAATGTTAGAGCCATATTATCAAGATCTCGTACATAATTGTACGAGGTTGATAGTGTCCTCGTACCTCGTACGGAAGACCACAAATCTCGTATTTGTACGAGGAACCTCGTACGGTTGGCAACCCTGGTCATGTCAATCACAATAAATGAGCTTATCCTTGCCAGTATTTACACGTAATTCTATTGCCTTTAATGCCTCAGTCGTAAATCCTGGTTGACAGTCAATTACTTGGTACCATTTGCTAATAGTTTTAGGATGAGGCATAATATTTCATAATTCCTTTCGTATAAAATTATACGCGCGTGGAGATAATAAATGCAATGTAACGGCAAATTTCTTAATTTCATAATTATATGACCGCGCCGTGTTTCCCTGTAGTGTAAATAAAAAACTTTGTATAGCTTTATTATTTTTACTGCGTCCAACATAAGTATTTTCACGTTTCCTAAATTTTCGATGTTTTGGATAGTCTCTTGCAATCTATCATTTAAGGTTATGTTTTTCTTCTTAAGCTTCCACAATCTATGCTGGAGAGATTTGATTTTCAGTAGACGTTTTCTCGAAAGCTTCTGAGCTTTAGCTAATTTTTGTTCCAACTTATGTATACGTAAATTATCTAAAACGCAATTTGAACTTGTGGATGGAGCTAAATTTTCACTAATGTTCATTGATTCTGGATCTAGATGGATAATATCGGTATGAAGCTTAGAAAATACCTGTGAAGTAATAATTGCAAACTTATTCTTTCGTTTTATGTAAAATATTATTATTTTATAGTTCTCAGCCAGTTATTTTTAAAAGTTCTTACACTATTCTCACATTTAATCAATTTTTCACTTCCTGTAGGCGGCGAAGTATCCATAATCCTCCTTCCAATCCTCCGAATCCTAATCCTCCGAAGGTTCCTTAAACATCAAAACATATTTGGAGTTTCAAAATGGATGTAATGACATTATTATTAACAATGCTATTCGCATGTTGGTATCCTATTGACTGTATGCTGGTTTGACATAAGTAATTATATTAAATGATAAATGATAAGTAATTAAAAATAAAATTAAACATAATATATATCTTCTTTTTTTTTGGATATATATATATATATATATATATATATATATATATATATATATATATAAATATGTTATCTTTATCGACGTATAAAGTATGAATTGCATTTGATTTCAGCCTTCGCCATTTCCCTTCGATAACAAAACAATGTTTGGAGAATGTGTTTTGAGCAAATGCGGCTATTCTTTGTCCAATGGTTTTGTGCCCGTGGAATTACTTTCAACTAGTTTTTTACCAATTCTTTATTATTTTTAGGCATATTAAAACAACAAAAATATAAAGAAGATTGTCGATATGGGGTTGTCGACTTTGCCGATATGCTTTAAAACTGCATCACTATTGTTTAAAATAAATTTTAATTTCAATGAATTTTCATGATTATACTCATTTTTACAAAAAACGAACTTGTTATTATCAAAATAATGTAAAATACAGGTTACTTACAGTTATAATGTAATTTAATTCTAGGATAATAAAAACGTACACACCGATGGAAGCTTACGAATTCTGAACCACGTTCCTTACGGTAAGAATGGGATTTGCATCCTAGTATAAAACCATTGAGCTATTATGTACTACGTACTAGAGGCGACACTGCATTCAGCTACTACAATGTTCCAAATGTTCCACTCAACTGCGGTGCATACACCGCACTTTAATCTGTCACTCGCTCGCTAGACGCTTGTAGAGTTGTCACGTGTTGTGTTGATTTAAAAAAATCTCTTGATAAAATTATGCCGTCGTGTGTACTTAGATATTGCACAAATAATTCAAGAAATGTCAGTAAAAACCAAGAAATTACTTTCAATCGGTTAATAAGATACTTAATAAAAAGTATTATAGATTAATAATAAAACAAATTATTCCTAAGACGCCATTTCGTGTCATGGAATATAGATTATGAAATTAATATGTTCAGATGCGACATTTTTGTGGGCACTAAAGTATAGGACGATTATATTATTATACACATTTTTTTATAGAAACATATATAAGTTATTATAATTAGGCTTATTTTTCATGTTTATATCTGCTTATTATTCTTTTATTTTATTTTTAGGTTTCCACATCAAAGTCAAAGTGGAATAAATTCGTCCATTATTAATTCTCGCGTGCCCAGCATTTATGAAAGACTCTTATTCTAATTTAAATAAATATATTTGTAATTTAAACGTTATGTTAATAAGTTTTGTTAAACATATATTTAGTATATTTTTTATATTTGACCTTTTAAAATATTCAAATAAAAATATCATTAAAATGTAATTGTGATATAATATTATGTAATATTATATTAAATAAGCAAATATAATATACAAAATAAATGACAAAATTTAAATATTGTTCTCGATATAATTTACCTATTTAACAATATAATCTACTATTACCTACGGATCATTCTACCCATAGATAAATAAATATGTAGCAAGATTCTACCTATGTTTATTCTATGATAAAAAAACAACCGCGCGAACACAGAGTAGCGCACAGTTTTTGTTTGAGATAGCTGTTCTAGTACGTAAGTACTTATTACTTCAATGTATAAAACAAACCATCTCTATTGATATTTTTTATTTCACGATATAAATTTTAAATAATATTTTTAGTAATATATTAAAGACAACGGACGTCAAACATCTCTAACACGACTTAATTAAAATTATATTTGTCAAATAAATTAGCCAGTACGATCTTGAACAAAATAAATACGATCTTATGGACTTTTTTATTTAGTAGTGTAAAAAGAGACCAAAGATGACCACTTGTATATTGACTCAATTTATGTGATCTCTATGCATACGTATGGATGTAATTACTCTAAGGCATGGAGGTTAGAGAATAGGAAACGATCGTTTTAGAAAATAGTGTCCCAGAAATATGGACACTATAAGTGAGGCGCTGCGATCGCAATAATGGTCATTTTCAGTCTATTTTTCCGATCAGACGCTAAACTACTTACACATCCACGCACAATAAAAGATTTCGTCATTTTTTAATGTTTCTTATGTTAAAAATTAAAAAATAACGGAGCACAAAAATTTTCTAACCAATGCCGCGAAGAAAATTTGCACTTTATTCAACTAACTTCATCTACTTGCACTCATAAACAGCCTAACTCCGCAGTCACTACTCACCGATGGCGGCGCCGCTATAAATTCTGCAAATTTTCAAGGACAGGCGGGCTATGCTTTAGTAGGTACCATGAAGTTTAGAGAACAGGAGAACGATCACTACGTACTAAAGCATAGCCCGCCTGTCCTTGAAAATTGTAGAATGTATAGCGGTGCTGAGGCCGGTGAGTAAATAATATTTCAAAGACATGTGAAGTTCGCCAACACGCATTGGGGCAGCACGGCGGACACCTCCTTAACCCAAAAACCTTTCAGAATTGAGACGAGGATTGTACCCAGCATTGGGAACGTATATAGGCTGTAACTTTAACTTTAAATTTAGGTTAGTGGTAATTCGATATTACAGTAAAGTGCCGAGTATGGTTTACATAACAACGTACTTCGAACAGAATGACTGAATCCCTATTATCAGATAAATTACCCCAAGGTCCAATCTACTTTCATAACTGGTTACAGTTAAAGCCTATAAAAGTCCACGGCTGAACATAGGTCTCCCCCATAAATGGCCTCATGGGGGGGATTAAGCATACCATGGAGGTTAGAGAGAAAGAGAACGATTGCTACATCCTAAAGCATAGCGCGCCTGTCCCTGAACTGCCGTCGGTTAGTAGTATCTGCGAAGTTAGCTGTTTATGAGTACAAGTAGGTGAAGTTAGATGAATAATGTACAAATTTTCATTTCATTTTTAATGAGAAAATTTTCATGCTCCGTAATTTTGTAATTTTTGACAAAAAGAAACATTAAAAATGGAGAAATATTTTATTGTGCGTGGATGTGCAAGTGGTTTAGCATCTGATCGGAAAAATAGACTCAAAATGACTTTTATTGACTGAACCTCGAGCAATCGCAGCGCCTCAATTATGGTATCCATATTACTATAGACACTATTTTCTACTGTGATTTTTCTCCTTTTCTCTAACCTTAATGGTAGGTACGTAGCGATTGTTCTCCTGAACATGATAATTGAAGGGCTAAGTGGACATAGGCGGTAAAAATATGGTAAAGAAAAACCTAAGGACAAGCATATAATGCATAGCAACATTCAATTACAAGTGCTATGAAAAGTTTTGTGGTTTTGACCTCTTTTCTCAATACTATAGCTTAAAAGTAACACTGAAAAAAAAATGTATCTCCCGAAATTCATCAGATCCGAAAATGTCAGAAGAGCACTAACAAACCAAAAAAAGGAAAAGAAGCACAACTTATATCCGTATTCTACCTAATGATGGTACCAACATAAAAGTTTGTAAGACTGTATTTTCCAATATGTTTCAAATTGCTTATAGAAAAGTAACAGCCATTTAATCAAAAATTAAATTAAATGATGTGACAGTGCTCAAAGTATAATGGGGTAAAACTCATACTTATTACTTAAAACAAATTTATGTAGAAAATTACATATGTAATCTATAATAATATATTGGAAGTTTTCCATCTGAAAGTTCTCATTATTTTTGTACTCAAAATATCTACAAACAGTATTAAAATCCATTACTTTCTTGTAAAAAGATGTATTCAATGCATATTTAAAAATGTAGGGGAAAAAAAGAAAACTACCAAATCAATCTCATCAAGGATTGCGCTTATAGCAATATATTCAATACAAATTTTCAACATATCATTTAAACAGCCTAGAACAGTGTGTGTAACAAATGTGATTCAAATACACACACTGAAGACCATATTGATGACTATAAAAGAGCATTTGAGTTACAAAAACAAGAAAAAGAGATGGGTGTTAGTGAACATGATATAACATATATTTTGACATGCAACAGACTCAGCCTCTACCTGAAATCCCCATATCAAAGCATTTTATTTGAGGAAAGTATGGTTTTATAATGAAGGTATCCATATCATTAATAGAGTTGGGTATAGGTCTTATTTTGGCACTGGAAAGAAGACTGGTGGAAAGGTCTCAGTCTCAGTGGTTTTACATTATTATTCTAAAAATCTCAATAATTAATAAATAGCCTTGTAAAAATCATATTTTTTTAATAATAATACTATTTCATATAAATAATGGTAAGTATATGAGATAAGTATAAGAGTGAATGGGGCACTACACTCTATTATGAAGAACCAGAATGTGTCAAAACAGGCACGTATGGTAATTCATAATGCTGTGTTAGTCCCTACGTTAATGTATGGTAGTGAAAGCTGGGTGTGGCAGAAGAAGCACGAAAGTAGAATAAATGCTGTAGAAATGCGTTCTTTAAGAAATATGCTAGGGTTTAATCTGAATGACAGGGTGAGAAATTGCGTGATAAGAGATAAATGTGGTATGCAAGATGATGTTGTGACCAGGATTAAGAAAGGAATGCTTCGGTGGTTTGGTCACGTAGAAAGAATGAATGATGAAAGAGTGACAAAGCAAATTTATATGGCAGATGTGAACGGCCGAGTCGGGAAGGGACGCCCTAGAAAAAAGTTTATCGACCAAATTGGCGATATTTTGAAAATGGGCCACGTTAGAAGTACCCTTAACCGACGAGCATGTATGCGTAGATATATGGATGTAAAGGAGGCGAAAGAGGTATGTCAGGATCGTGCCAAATGGAAGTCCGCCTCTCTCCCTAATCTCTGCCTACCCCTCTGGGTGACAGGCGTGAGTGTTTATGTTTATGTAATTATGTAATGGTAAGTATTTAATTTTTTTACCACATACAACCGTTATAAGTTCTTCTTAACAAAACTTAATATGGTTTATAGTAAACAAAGGTGATATGCTCACATTTTCATTGTTTATTAATAAATTTGCATAGAATAACCTATTTTTAATATAATATATATATAATAATTAATCTTATCTATGTATTGGTACTAATACTGTATTGTAAAACTAAGATTTAATTACTAATTTACTTTTGGAACTATTTGTTAGTTAACATCTTTGTCCACTTATCCCTTCAATTGCAAGTAGCCATAATTTTACAATAACATGTTGACCATGAATTATGAATTTTGATATTGGATTACTGAAAACATGTTACAGAAGACGCTGACTCCACTGTATAATTGTTATTGCTGGTCAAACCAAGGTGTCATCCTCATACTTTCACTCAACAGACTTATTTTGGCCATCTTATAAAAGCCCTTGCTTTTAGTACAAGTATTGATAAATAATTTATTATAATTCTCATCATAGTAATGTAATCACTTAGTTAATGATGTCAGTATTGCACTGAAATAGTTTTAATACATTATTGTAATGTAATAATGTAATAGTAATAAATGTCATCGACCCATATTTAGTTACTTTAAAATGCTTCAGCACTGCTCCCAAAATCTTAATTAGCAAGTAAATAGGTAAACAATAATTACTGAAGATAAACTTACAACTTGTACATTTAATGAATGGCCCTCATGGTGACCACTCACATATGCCTCTTCATGAATTTTTGGAGCTAGAATTTTTATGTGTGTGCAGTCTATAGCTCCTATCGCATCAGGAAATGGTTGTGGGGCATTCCTAAATTTTTCTTTAGCTGCTCGCCGCTCATCATGGGTCATAGGGAATTTTATAAATTTTCTCAATAATTTTTCATTAATAGCCTCGGTTACAGCATGTATAACTCGGCTAACCGATTTTTGGCTCATGCTGCAACCCCACTGCAGGCCAACAGGTAGCTGATAGCACCCACTTGCATAAAATCGAAGTGCCGTCAGTATCTATTTAGAAGAAAATGAAACTAAGAGTTAATACAAACGAAAAAGAGTAAGTGTTTAGGGGTTTATTATTACATGATGACACTCACTTGGGACTCCACAGAAAGTCCGTAAGGCCGTTGTTTTTGAAGAGATGACCGAAGTTCACCTACGAGCTCGCTAAACATATTTTTTGTAATTCTGTAAAGGTACAAGAATTCACTATCGTCTAAATCTAAGGGATTTTCACTTTCACGCCGGTTTCGTGCGATTTGCCGCCGCATAACCATAACACGCCTGTGTTCTAGTTCTGACAAATCCCATGCTAAATACGATTCCGCCATAATTACTTAATACTTTTATTATAACCTTATATTATAATAGATAAAGATTATTTATAAAACTGTGAAACAACTTATGATCGTAACGTAAAACACTTAGCGGGCTGTCAAAAATGGTAGTTAAAGTAATAGCAAACATAACAAATAAGTAAAGTTTACGATCGGTACCGATCGCTTTGACAGTTTCAGTTTATACCATAGATAAATAAATATGTAGCAAGGTTTATACAAAGGTACTCTGTGGTCGAGACTGCAGCCGCTGTTCTGTAAGCTCCATGCTCTAAGGTTTACGGTTTAAAGCGTTTAGATTTTGCAAATATTCACAGAGTACCACAGAGTACCTTTGTATAAACCGAAAGAGTACTACCTATTATAAATCGGAGACAAACGTTCTTTCATTATGTATATAAAGCGTTTATTTACTCAAAAAACTGTTGAATATTTATTTTTAAGCGGCTTATGAATTATGAATATGTTTTGAGCAATATGTACGCTAAGTTATTTTATTTCAAATGTTTTGTTGTGTTAATAATTTTTTAAATATTTATTCATAATAAATAATAATATACCATGTAATTTAATTAAAAAAGCTATTAAACTATCATTTTAATTAATTGACGTAGGGAAAGAAGATTGAAGATTATATTTGTTTTATTGTTCCACTTGCACTTGTAATATCAAAACGTCTGGCAACGACATAGAAGTTTTGAATTGTTTTGATTCGTGTTTCGTTTTCATACATAAGTATATGAATAAATATTTTGCGATTTTTCTTTACTTTATATAAAAAGTAAAGAAATGGAGAGTTCGTTTTTCGAATATCGTGACGCAACAGCAGTAGAAGATGAGTCTGACACAGAAATAATTGATAACAGTTTGATTGACGATCAATCTTTTTCGACTACAAAGAAACCTGGAATTAAAAATCATACTCTATATATTGCTGAATCTGAAGGTACTAAGTTTACAGAAATTTTTCGTGGATGTTAGTTAAATAATGAACCAAACAATGTAACTTTCCTTACTGTTGTAGACGATACCGATGAAGATGCTAAGGATCGAAGATTTTTGTCAGTGTCCGTCACTAGAAGTAGTGTGGAGGCAACGACCCTTATATCAAGTAGTGATGATGGTGAATATTCCTTATAAGTATTTCTCTAAACAGAAGCAAGTGGTTGGAACATATCTCCTGCATGTATCATAGTATGTTGGATAGACTAAATAGAGAAGTAAGATTCATATCAAAGTATAAAAATATTGTATTACAAAAACAGGTAAGGCAGATTTTACTGTAACTGTGGTACTGCAATTTGTAAGTTTTTATTTTTATTACCCTAAAACCCTCTCATAAATGAGGGGTGGCCTGTGCTCAGCAGTGGGACATATATAGGCTGTAACTTTAACTTTTTAACTTTTATTTTTATTTTATATTTAGTAAAATAGGTGCCAGCCATGCTATTAACATTACTAATATTTTCTTTATGCGCTCCTGGTAAGCCTTAAATGTTTGGAGTAGTTCATGAAAGTAGTCATATAGCGGGCTTAAACCCACAACCTTTGCATTCATAGTTTGCACCAAACCATTAGGCTTATGTCTTATGTCATAACCCCCATAAGTTAAAGTTACAGCCTATATATGTCCCACACCTGCGCACAGGCCTCCGTTCAATTCTAAGAGGGTTTTAAGGGAAAGAAGTGTCTGCCGCGCTGCCCCGATGCGTGTTGGCGAATGTTCGAATTTTTTTTTCTTATAAATGTGGGTTTCTTCACAATATTTTCCTTTGCCGCTGAGCATGTGATAATTCAACACTTAAAATGGCAATTAACAATTTCATTGGTGCCGGCGGGTATTGAACCCTGTTTGCTCGCGTACTGTGAATTTTATAGTGAGCGCTAACCATCTGAGCTGCCTTGGCTCTAACACCATAAGTTATTTATTACCATATAAAATTATAATATTGAAATTATAATAATTTTCAAATTTCTGATGTGATTAGACCTGGTACTATTTTGGGCTCAAAAATCCACAAAAGTGCGTCTTGATACCACCTGCATAGTGCACTTCCTTTCCGCTTCGACTACCTCGTTGGTCTAGTGGTTGTAGTAGTGACTGACTACTGATCATGAGGTCCTGGGTTCAAATCCCGGGTCGGGCCAAAAAATTAATTATTGAGTTTTTCCGTCAAGAAATTCTCAGTAGTTGCTCGGAGTCAGGAAGTTAGAAGTGCCTCACCCCCGTGCCTTGGAAAGCATGTAAAGCCGTTGGTCCTGCGCCTGATTTCTCTCCGGTCGTGTTGGTTTACCGTCCCATCGGATTATGAGAGTGAGGGAAGAGAGAGTGCACCTGTGCTTGCGCATACACTTTGGCACTATAATTCTGTCCTGCGCCAATGGCTAGCGTCCGTTGAGGCAGGCCGCCGTGGCCGAAATTTGGTCTGGAGGACATTATTACCTTTCCACTTACCCTTAAGTATAGCTTCAGTGTAAGAGTTTACGTCACACTATTTTGTTTAATCCCATGTCCTATGTCTAACAGTGGACTGTTACTAGTGGGGATGCTAGGGCTAGCAGTTTTACAAAAATACACTAATCTTGATCTGTCTCCACTCTTCAGTTTCATATTCAGTGCTGTCAAGGACGTGTTTAACAAAGCACATAAAAGGCATACTACTGCTAAAGAGATTGTATGACATATCAGAAATTGCATACCTTTGGTGGCTTTGAAAAAAACCGTTTGGGTTTGCTTGAGCGAAAGAAAAAGATATTTACACACAATACAATATTTGAACAAAAGAAAAGCATGAATAAACTACAAACAAACTATGTACAAAATAAAAAAAGGGACACCTGGCAGATGTGAAACATCGAAATTGTTTTGTTATATGCATAGAACAGATTACGACAGGAATTAGATAGAGTATAATGATAAGATAAAGGCATTACAATTTTTTTTTCCATAAAATAAAGACTGTATATATAATTATTCATTTCCAATTTTAATAAACCATACAAAATGATATTTTTAACTCATATGGTAGTATAAATATTAAATATTGAATTAATAAACATTTAAATACGGCTAGCTTAATTACACTTTAATACTAAAGAGTTAAAGTTTGAAGAAATGTTTATTGAACTAAAATTTCACTTTTAAAGATTTTACCTTTTCCTCGCCGATCAACACTTCGATTCATCACAAGGAACACTATTATCCTCCATTTTCACTAAAAATCTAAAAAAAAAACAAATTTACAACTCGCAATATTCATTCGCTCAAGCTAAACACGCAGAATAAACATTGAAATGTGAAGTTAACTTGCAACCAAATCGCCCGCGCTTCACTTTTATCAACTTCATACCAAAAGTTCGGCTTAACACTCTATACTAAATTGCTATGTAAGCAATCGTAGTTATATTTCGGTATAGAACATTATGCCACAGGTTAGAAAGGGAACGATCGTATTTTCGAAAGCCCGGTAAAAAGCCCACGCGTGTGAAAGAGACGACTAATCGCTCAGCTCAACTCTTTGCTTTCATTAATTTTGACAGTCCATTGCGTGTTCACTTTGAGATAGAGAGAATACGAATCATTGTTTTTCAAATTGAAAGCAATTTGCTAAGTGTTGATGTTACATAATAAGGCTACGAGGTCATGACCTGTGTAGAACAGAGGAGCGCGGGGGATTTTTTAAATAGTTTGGAACAGTTTACGAGTTATTTTATTAGTTGATAATATTGATTGAGCAGTTTCATAGGTCAAGCCCGGCTTCTCGGCTTCTGTGGCTTCACCACCGACTGTTTAAGAATAACAATAATGAGTAATGGCTGATTATTTTAGATAAAAGAGGCTGTATTCGAAGTCAGTCAGCAACTTCAAACAAAGAACTTGCTTGTTCATCTGATGAAGGTAAGTAATATATTACATAGTTAATTATCACTTTTAGGTTTTTTTTTCTATATTGCTACACTTACGTCTACTTCTCACCACTCCATAGGTTGATTGGTAGAGAATGTCTCAAGGCATTAAGTCCTCTTGGTATCCTTTTGTTATAAAGAATGCAATATGTTTTATAAATTGTAAAGCTATGCTGCAGCTATATTACTGTTATAGTTGTAGTGTGAATGGGTAAGCTCGACAAGGGAAGGACCACACCCTCACGGAATACCAGTGTAAAATGTGTTTTGTATGGTGAGTGTAGAGAACCGGAGATACTTTTTACTGGAAATGGAGGCATTTCATCTTAGTTCTCATGGGTAATAACACATCTGCATTTGATTCTTATTCGAAGATAAATGTAGATGTCTAGGGGTCACAGTATCCACTTACCGTCAGGTGGACTGTGTGCTTTTTTGTCACCCTTATCCTATAAAAAAAATACAAGATTAACAAACAAGGTAATGGTATAGTTACATATGTACTGTCTAGCTAATGTACAGCCCAGGGACATCTGACACCAACTTCAAAAGAAAAAGTCCACGAGTCACTCCCGGGGACTAAGATGAAATGCTTGTTAATATTATATCAGTTGCCTTCCTTGTTTAAAGTTGGCTGCAGGTTTCTATAGCCTACAGTAACCATTCACTTCATTTTATAAAAAACTTTAGTCAGCTCTAAAAGCTTTTATGACAATCTTAGAACGAAAATCAAAAATACATAAAAAATGTTAATCACAGTAATTGTACAATATAAACCCGTTATAAGAATATTTATTAATAATATCATAATGGCCTTACAGATACCGTGACAGCATATTAAAGTCCACTGTTGAACATAGGCCTCCGCATAGATTGCCTCATAGGGGGAGAAATTTGCCTTATTGGCCTTTCTAATATATAGTAATTGTTGATTAATGTTTGGCCTAAATTAAGCTATTATTTCTGTACCTGTCTTTTTCTTTTGTCAATAAATGAATAGAGAGAGAGAGAGATCATCTTTAAGAATTTTTCCAATTGAAATGGATTTTATGAGTAAGGCAAAGCAAAGTTTACATATATGTACCTCTTCCTATCTCTAAAATGTGTGATGTTACGAAATGTGTTGCAGTTAGAACTCCTCAGAAAGTTCTGATTTAAGATAAAACAGGAACATTCTTAGTGAATATTCTGTAATAATACATACTTACCTAGTTTTCTAAGACATCAATCCTCACCTGGGGCCCATCTAATAAAGTATTTTATAGAATAAGGCTGACAATAAGCACACAGTCAATCTAATGGTAAGTGGATGCTGTGGCCCATAGACATCTTCTTTATTCAGTTAAGCACCAAAATGCTTAATGCCTTTTCACCCCTGAGCTTACTTCTCATTTCCAGTAAAAAGGTCTCTGGTTCTCTTCACTGACCAAACTCACCATACAAAACACAGCTGTTAGGCAGATTTTTTATGCTAGTATTCTAAGAGAGACCTATATTCAGCAGTGGACTGCCACAGGCTGGTGATGATGATTCTGTAGGAATGTGCTCCTTCCCAGGTCCAGCAGTCTATTTGTGCTGCAACCCTGCAGCTAACCCTAGAGCTACAGCCTAACTCTACCAAGTGTAACTATAAGTATTTAGGAGCTGACTCCATATGGGTGCCTACTGGTGACCATAATGAAAGATGAAATCTTTTACTAATATATTTATTATAGCGGAACGTGCCATACAGTTGGCGGGCAACTAGTGACTGCTTGAAAAATCTTATTCACTACATAATATAGTTACAATACAACATTGCGAAGTTTACATGTGTGTGCGCAGCACACCTACAATACTTCCCCCTTTACAAAAAATGAATACAAAAAACTTAAAACTATACAATGAATATAAACTTAAAACTAACAACAAAAACTTGCTAATGCGCTTGTGCGCAGGGCTGTACGGAGACCTATCTAGGAGATCTATCATCTGACCCATATTCTGGCCCGATATCGGAACGCCTGTCATTAACACCTGATGACGAAGCCAGCTTTTGAACTTCTTATTAAACTTTACCCAAATAGTGTACAGGATTATCGCCCCCATAAAACTGGCTATCACATATAACCATGTTTGAAAATTATCCACTTTATTCTCTACAGTATTTTGAGCCTGAGAAACAATAACTGGTTTTTCTTGAAAATTACCCATAGTAAAAATCGTAAAACTTATCGCGCTAATGCTATCGCAAAGGAAGTATTTCGAATGAAATTATATTAAATACATTATAACTAAACTAGCTACCTGGAACCTATATGAAAGTGCAGTATACGCAAAATACTGAACACGATACCTCTACAATTACATTCAACTTAAATAATGTAACTTGAATATCCTGAATGAAAATATTATGCACTTGACAATGCAAATAATACTTTCACATCCATAGTAACTAAACCTGATTATCATTTAGACATGTAATTGTATAATATATATTTTATATTAACACTAGCTTATAAATCGTGAAGGTAACTTAACAATCCGACCACTTCGCGTTGTTTTCACGGTTATCGGGTTGCTCGGGCCGGGTAACAACGACGTCAGCGGTGTGGACGGTGGTAACTGAAACCGTACATGCGCAGGTGCCACATCCGCTGCGTTGTCAGCGTTACTTTGGCGTGGCGTTGCTTCGTTACCATCACATTCCTTTAATACATATGCAGGCTTTAATCTGTCGATAGAAATATGTACCTGTCTATCGGGTAATTGAATTAGGTAAACTTTTGAGCCCCTTTTTATCACGCGGTATGGACCGTCGTAGGGTGGTTTCAAAGGTTTACGTATTGAATCGTCCCTAACAAAGACATATTCACAGTTACGTAAGTCCTTGTGCACAAAAAAACTATGACAGTTACGTGAATCGTCGGATGTAGGCTTATAACTACGAATAGTATCTCTAATCTTATCCACTAAACAATAATCATTGACGTTACGGTTGTTCGAAGAGCCGTCATAAAAGTCTCCCGGTAGACGTAATTTTCGCCCGAACGTTAACATGTGTGTGCGCAGCACACCTACAAGTATATACTTGTTTTATTCTAGTTGTTATACGGATTTAAGCTGAATATTAAAATTAAATATGTATTTTACTAAAATGTGTTTTTTATCAAAGTTTTAATTAACTCTATTTAGAGACTTCTTATATTTACGAATTCTGCACATTTATTAAAACTAATTTTATGGATTTATCGCAATTAATCTGACTTATTTTTAACCCCCAACGAAAAGATGGTTGGGGGGGGGAGGTACTATTATTGCAGTGTATCTGCTCTGTCTGCGGTACCATAACTCCTAATTAGATGAAACGATTTTGATTATTTTTTTTTGTTTCAAAGGTGTCTTCATCGAGATTTCAAGAAAATCTGTTTAGGCAGTTTTAAGATCATCAGCTCTTTTTGTCTAGGGATTTTATTAATTTTCAATTTAAGTTATTACTTATTTTAATGCCCTGGGCTTGACTTCCATAACTATGCGTGCTTTATGTGATAGTCATAGTTAACCCGGGTTACCTTCAGCTTCTGAATGTTGGGAACGAAAATGTATGAAAAAAGTCAAATTAAATGCGATTTAATCCAAAACTAGTTTATTTATTATTGAAGTAAACTTAAAGAAAAGACTTTACGTTTATTTCACAAAACCATGTTGATTTCAGAATGATTTTATTTTAAATTATAATAACATTATTTGCTTTCCCTAGCTATTTGTAATTTTAATCTATAATTAATAACTGGTTTATATTATTTCCGATTTCTGAACTAGAATTGTCACCGGAAATCGTACCACGCCGGCGGCCAAACAATGCGCAAAGAAGATCGTCGCTACTTTTTATTGGTCGGAAAAACAGGAAACGCATGATTTTAACAGACTCTGATACAGAGAATTCAATAATCATCGAACATGACAAGAATAGGAAACACGCATGTTTAAAAGATACACCTGCTAAGATAAATAGTAGAATATTAGCTAAGGCTATAGCTGACGGAACAAAAAAGGCTGATGATAGTTGTCACAATAGTTGCGATACTGGTGATGATCAAGTTGAAAGTGGTAATGTTAGTAAAAATTCCTCTGACGATGAAGAAGAAAATATTCCCCAAAAGGCTGATATGAGTCATTGTAGTAAAGAATTTAGTGAAAATTCCAGTGATGAACATGTTGATTGTGACAAAGAAAGCCATAACGTAAGTAGTAGCGATCGAAAACAATCCGACATACGAGAAAGCTCTGGCGAAGTATGCAACAATGAAAAGCCTAAATCCGATGCATCAGAATACAGTGAAGCTGATGAAAGCGACGAACTAGATGAGGATCAGATGGTGATGTCTCGAGCTACGCGGATGAGTATAATGGGTTTTGTACCTAAAGAGAGTCCCAGTGACGAATCGGACTTCATTCAGTCTGATGATGTAAGTCGCAAATGGAATTGGTTTGTAAAAAATATTTTTATAGTACACGGTGACTTAAAACCACGTTTAAGGCACGCTCTAGCGGGAATGTAAAGTATAAAAAAATACTTGACATAGTCATTTAAATTTTTGTACATTTTTAGTTTGAACTGTATTTTTTGAAGTCAAATTATTAAAAACACAATTAAGTAATATTACTACTATTTACCATCACATTACAATTACTAAAAAAATAAGACCGTTGTGAATTCAGGTTTGATAAATTGTTTACATATAAGGCAGCGTCTGGATCATATAAAACTTCCGTAAATCGAGTTTCGTTTCTGTTGGATATTGATATACTTAGGGAGTGACAAGGGCGATACGTCAATTAGACAAGCTAGTTAATTGCACACTGGTTTAATGAGACAGCGACCGTTCGGCGGGGGACGCAGCCCGCACACCCTTACACACCTAGACATACACAACATCCCTCCACCTTGTAGCTAACATAATATACAAAATCAATAAGTACAAAAAAATGTGGAAACATTTTCCAAGCTATGACAACATAGATCACGTAGAGAAACGTCAGCCTCCATCTAGGTATCCTCCTGTTCCGATGTCGGCGTAGAGAATATCGGACTTATAGCTTGTCTTCTTCGAGGAGGGGCGCTAGCACGGAGCGGAGTCTTCGGGTACTCGCTAATACCGCTTGCCAGTTCAGGTGCCGTTATGTCCCGTCCTTCCCCTCCTACATCGGCTGTGGTTCCAGGCTGGACTCCGTCGCTAAAAGTTGTAGCGGTCAGCTCGTCGGGCACCACATCCGGGTCCCATCGCCGGTCATCTCTAGCCGGTGAGTATAACCGTGCTCTTAACTGATCGACATGTCTCGTGACTTCGCAGTTATATTGAGGTACGTATATTCTATACATTACGTTTCCAATTTTTCTTTTCACTATGCCTTCGATCCAACAGAATTTTTTATTGTCTATATATTTTGTTAGCCACACTTTGTCATTAATTCTTAATTCTGATCTTTGTTTCCCTTTATAATTATGGGCCTGTAATAACTGATTATGTTCCACTGTTTTAACGAGGTCCGTGGACGCGGGAGACGACGCTAGTGGGTTTAATAAATTTAGCCGTGAACGTAACGCGCGCCCGTAGACGAGTTCTGCTGGTGACTTGTTCGTGGTACTGTTTTTAGAGTTCCTATAGTCAAATAAAAATTTTGACATTTTTTCTTGAACTATTTTTTTATTTACGCTTTGTAAAAAGCTTTTGCCCTTAAGGCCCCTTTTAACAAAACTTTCTGCTTGTCCGTTACTACTTGGATGATACACCGGGGATAATATGTGTTTTATACCGTTTTTACACAAAAATTTTTAAACTCCTGAGACGTGAAAGAGGTGCCATTGTCACTCACCAACGTATGAGGTACTCCGAAACGGGACATAAAATCGTATAATCTATTAATAACAGCTTTGGAATTATAAGAAGTATTCATATTATAACATTCAACCCATTTACTGTAATGTAGTCGTTTGGCGGTCACCTCGGGAATTCCTTTATGAGGCCCGAATATAGGCAATAAAGGCTTATGGTCTGTTCGTAGCGTGAAAGGCGTGGATCGACCATACAAATACTGATGAAAACGTCTCACCCCATAAATAATGGCCGTTGCCTCTTTCTGGATTTGTGCGTAATTCTTTTCAGCAACTGTGAGCGTTCGCGAGGCGTAAGATATGGGTCTTTCTAATCGGTCGTCGCCTATCTGAGACAATACAGCCCCTAACCCTGTTGGAGACGCATCAACTGTTAATATTAACTCGGCTTTCGGGTTAAAGTGGGTTAAAATTTTGTCACTAGCGAGATATTCTTTTATTTTCTTAAATGCATCGTCATGTACAGAAGTCCACTCCCATTTAGATTTTTTATTAAATAAGTTGTAGAGGGGATTTAGTATAGATGATGCGTTCGGCACGAAGTTACGATAATAATTCGCTAAACCAAGGAAAGACTGCAATTGTAAGACATTCTTCGGCTTAGGCGCTTCGAGAATGGCTTTTACCTTCTTTGGCGATTTCCTAATCCCAGTTTTGTCTATCACGTGACCCAGATAAGAAATCTCGTCTTTAAAGAACTCACACTTATTCATTTGAACAGTCAATCCTTCGTCGTCTTAACGCTGTAAAACAGCCATAAGCCTTTGTTCATGTTGAATTTTGCTTTTACTCGTAATTAGGATATCATCTAGCAAAAATATTATCCCTCAATGCCAGCGAGCAAACACTCCATCGCACGCTGAAAGATTGATGGAGCAGATGCCAGACCAAAGACCAACCGAGTAAAATTAAAAAGACCGCGGTGTGTATTTATATATGTGATTTTCTGTGATTTATCGCTTAACACAAACTGATTGTAGGCCATAGATAAATAAATTTTACTAAACTGTACGCCATCGTGTAATTTTGCCAATAAATCGCTTACTGTGGGTAAAGGATACTGGTCTACTATTAACTGTTTATTAATAGTAACCGCATAATCGGCACACAAACTGATGCTACCGTCCTTTTTCAATACCGGCACTAGCGGTGAAGCAGTGTCTGAGTGCTCGACGGGTTTTAAAATGCCTAACGCCAACAAACGATCTATCTCTTTGTCTATTTTTTCCTTAAGGGCATATGGTACGGGTCTAGCTTTGAAAAAGATAGGTTTTGCGTCCGGTTTTAGATGTAAATCAACAGTATACTTATTAAATGACCCAAGCTTACTAGAAAAAATATTCGGGAATTTTGAGTATAATTTCTTTAACATTATTTCGTGGCAATCACCTTGCCCTTGCGCGTATACCGCATGCACACGCTGAGAGCGGCCGCTGGCGACTGGCTGCGCATGCGCTAGTTCTGAGTTAAAAACACGAATGAAGTCCCTGCCCAGAAGCGACAGTCCACCATTGCGCACTACATACACGCTTAGAGTATGCGAGATCCCACTATATTCTATAGGTAGTGAAACTAACCCGACGGTTCCTATGTGTTCGCCCGTATAACTTGATAGCTTTTTGTTGGTGGCTAAATTGCAAATGATTAAATTTAGAAATATAAGTTTTTTCCGAAATTACGCTTACTGCCGAACCGCTATCTATTTCGAACTCTAAAGAAAGACCATTTATCATAACGCGTTCCGTCGTCGTCTCCTTCGACCAGAGTACCTTCCTCGACATATTTTATTCTGTCATCATAAGCGCACATTTTTCGTAAATGACCTTTCCTATTACACTTTTTACACTTGAGATTTTTATAGCGACACTGATTGGATTTATGATTGGCATAACCACACACATTGCACTTTTCCTTCTTGGAGATGTTGAATACGCCACCATCCGCGGATCCGCTCGCACCGACACCACTCTCGCCCGGCGCCGCAACTGATGAAGCGTGACGTGCACAGCGCAAGCTCTCCGCCAAGTTGATGGCCTTTACCAGGGTCAACTCCCGCTGATCTTGCGCGAAAACTTTGTCCCGCTCGTGTCCTGCCGCCATGCCCATGATGAATCTGTCCAACAGGGCTTCCTCCAAGTTCTTAAATTCACAATGTGCCGCCAATCCCCTAATTCTGGCCGCCCACTGAGTGTGACCTTCACCTGGTCGCTGAGTTGCCGTATAGAAGAAATTGATTTTTCTGCAAACCCCAACCTTTTTGGTGTGAAGTGATCATCGAGGAGCTTAACTATTGCTCCGTAGCTCAACTCTTCCACCTTGCTGGGTAACGCCAGGTCATTACCTAACTTGAACGTCGATTCACTTAGCGCACTCAACAATATCGCTCGCCGCTTTACTGTTGCTTTGTCAGTTCAATTGGTTATGTCGTTCGCGATATACCACTGATCCAATCGCGATTTATAACTGTTCCATTCGTGCGAAAGATGATCGAATGTTGATATAATGCCAAAAGTTACTCCCGTTGACATTTTTAGTGTAAATACGCGAGTTCGCTCGTCGCCACTTGTTGGATATTGATATACTTAGGGAGTGACAAGGGCGATACGTCAATTAGACAAGCTAGTTAATTGCACACTGGTTTAATGAGACAGCGACCATTCGGTGGGGGACGCAGCCCGCACACCCTTACACACCTAGACATACACAGAAATAGAAATAGAAATAGAAATAGAAACTTTTTTATTCAATGTAGATTATAAAAATACTTATTGAAAGTCACTTTTTTAATTTACCAACACACAACAGTTTCAATGTATCTTTCGTCTTTAGTTAGAGGTCTTTGACATAACTATTAATAATTAACTACATTATATTACTTGACTTTGCTACTTTTAGTATGATCTTTAAGGTTTGGTCGATTCTTAAATTTTCAGTCCGTACGGATAAAGACAGGGATTAGGAATGGCGCCTCATCGAGCCCGTAACGTCAGCATTCGCAGTACTTATAGCAAAAATCCGCTAATATTAGTATAACGTTATATTACGAGGATGACACTGAAACTTCTTAGAAAATCAAAAACTGAACAAACTAGCAAGTTATTAGTTTTGTTATCTTTTCAAAATAGTGTCCAGACACATCAATACATCGCATCCGTATCCGATGGAACTACTGAGAAAAGCACTTTGCCCACTCGTCCTTAGGGGTCTCTTCGGCGGCATCTTGAACCGCAGCCTTGCTGCTTCCTTGGCGACCATAAAACGTTTTCCGCGAAGATTTCCTTTTATTTTCGGAAATAAAAGTAAATCGCAAGGTGTGAGGTCGGTCGGGGCTATAAGGCCGGTGATCCAGTAATTCCACGTCTGACGTCACTAAGTAGTCGATTGTTTGCTTGGTGGTGTGCGACGAGGCGTTGTGGTGAAGGAGGTCGTTTCTCCCGAACTTTTTCTAAGCCAAGTGGCAAACAATTGTTAGTGTACCACTCTGCAGTAGATAACTGTTACTCGATTCTCTAAAACAATTGTTGCATAATGAACTGTCCTTCCGAAGAACGAGGACACCATCTTTTTCTCCACGCTTCGACCAATTATTGATGAATAGATCTTACTTAGTGAAAAATAGTCATACACATGATTTCTATCACGAGTCCGACCACGATAAACATCGTGATGGCTACATATCGATAGCACTTTACTTTTTTAACTTAATAAGCCCTTGCTTGAACAGACAGTTCTACCATATAAAAAGTGGTGATGCACCAGGAGATGATAAATCGCACATACTTAGCTTAACAAAAGCCTTTTTCACCCTTGCCTTAAGTACTGTGAAAGAATGTGGGTACATTGTAATCGGATGTAAAAACAGATGCTGGCAACTTATTCCACTCTTTTTGCCGCAAATACGTTTTATCTTTGGTCTTTATTTGGGGAAATCTTTTTACTCGGTGCTTCTTTTGCAAGGTGTTCTGTTGCAAGGAGTTGCCACTTTAGTTGGCAACTCCTCGGAAGGAAACATCCAGACAGCAGACTGCCTCTCAATTTCAGAATAATAACAATAAATCCAGCTTTCGTCACCCGTAAGTATGTCGAACACAGCATTTGAGTCACCTCCGTTAAATATTTGAACCATTTCACGAAAACAATCAACACGACGGAGTTCTTTGGCCTCTGTCAAATTATGAGGTATCCACCGGGCACAAAGCTTCCTGACCGCTAAATGTTCTTTGAGGATTTCGTTCACTTGACTCATACCGATGCTTAAGCTTGTCCGAATATGCTGATAAGTCACACTTTTGTCAGTCACTGATGACTGATGTAATCTTCAGTCATCGCCGTATAAGGCCGTCTCTCACGCAGATCATCCATGAGATTAGTGCAACCACGTTTAAGCTCATTAAACCAGTCGTAAACAGTGGCACAAGATAGGGCTTCATCATAAAAAGCCAATCGAAGTCTATCATAACTTTCTTGTTGACTTAAATGACATCGAAAGTCATAAAAAATCATTGTACGAAAATTTTCTCGCGTTAAAATCATGCTGCCGTGACAGATAATTTTCAATTTCCCGCCAAATCGTAAACAAATAAGTATCGTAATCGTAAGTAAGTGGGTGCGTTTGGCAGAAAAAAGCGCTAACAAGCGCTTATAAGCGCTAAAATAGTTTTCGGCCAGGACACGATTCCTACTTCAGTAGCGCTGACACAATCCGCCATTTTGCTTATTTAATTTGTTTGTTTTGAAGTAGAGTTTATAAGTTGTTTTGTGCAATATTAGTTTTAAGTAATATAATGACATGAATAAACATATACATGTTATTAAAAATTCATGATTGGTAAGTTCTTAATATGAATACTTTACAAACATATATTTAAATTAGATTATGTTCCCCCGTTAAAACTAACATCGTGTCCTGGAGGAAAATAGCTACTTATGATTTGACAGCGCTTACCGCTTACGATCGCCATTTTGCTTACAAGCGCTTGCTAGCGCTTTTTTCTGCCAAACGCACCCAGTGTGAGAGGTTTAGTACTGCAAACGCCAATTTGCATGCCAAGCGTAACGATTAAGGCGTATTATAATACTCGTACTGACTTTAAGTATAAGTACAACTTAAATACTTTACATTAAATTATTTTTTTTCTATTTATATACTAGATGACTTTTTTACCTTCTGGAAAAAAATAGGATGTAACATGTGAACGGAGTAGAAGCCTAGCACTGATATTTGACAAAAACAAAAACAAAAAATTTGAATTAAACGTTTGAAATTTTTTTTGAGCCTGGGACCCTGCGAAGTGTGAAGCTCAAAGTTGCCTACTAAATTTATTGTTTTATTGCCGTTGGTAAAGTAGGGCGGAGATGATTTGAAGTTTGATAGATTTTAATTTATATATTTATTTAATTTAAAATGTTTGTTTTTATTTATTGTAAAATATCAGTGCCATGGGCTTCTACTCCGTTCACATGTAATAACCTATATTTTCCAGACGGTAAAAAAGGGCATCCAGTATAACTAGCGATCCGCCCTTTTTTTGCGCGGGTGATTTCTGGCGGTCGACAAAAGCGGCACCCACAGGGCCATAATTTAGTTTTTTAAACATCTAAATCCAAAAAAAAATCATCCAAATCGGACGAGCTATTTTAGAGTGTTTGCGAGACTAATGGACAGCAATTATTTTTTATGTCTAGAGATTCTGAACGTGTAATTATTCCTTAACTCTTCCTAAACGGCTGGGCCGGTTTTGATGAAATTTTCGTGTGTGTTTGGCTTACATTCACAATTGAGCCGACAGGTGGAGCTGTTGTTGAGATCCGGAAATCATCCATTGCGAAGCCGGGGTGGATCACTAGTAATCTATAATTTTCCCTTTTTAGAATTCTAATTCACGGCCAAACTCCGCAAACAGCTTGACAGATTTACCAGACGTAAGTGTCTCCTTGCACAAGACACCAGAAAAACTGAATAATGAAGATGACGATATCAACGAATCTAGAATTAGTTGTTCACCATTCAGCAGCCCACTAAAGGATATAACTAACAACTTTAACGAGTCGTTCAAAATTGACGATAAAAACAAAAGTAATAGAGTTCAAAATAACAACGATATAATATGTGACTTGACGCAGAACGATTCCTTCGAAACCTACGATTTAACACGAAGTGAAAGCAATTATTTAAGCAATAAAGTGTTCAATAGAATGACAGGGAGTGGTAGCAGTTATAATGAAAAAGTTATTGATGAAGATTTGACCATTATTGACGCAAAGCCGGAAATTATTGCGCTTAGCAGCGACGACGAAGATGAGGTAAGTTTGCTAATTTTTGTTTTTAAACAACACAAGGATTTCTAAATTTTGGTGGCAATGTAAGAGAATCCATCATCTTATTTCTTTCCGGAGGTAAGGGGTGACTATCAGATCTCATAGCTTTTGATAGATGGCGGTGTAATCATCTCGTAAACTAGGAGTAACATCAAAGGTACGAGTTATCTGGTGGCGATTATGACAACTTTTACTACTATGAAAGACGCTAAGCGTTTGGTCTCAGCGCTATTAGCCGCGGATCCGAATCCTGCACTGAACAAGTGTTTGTATAAGGTATAAACTATTCACCCGGTTTTGGATTTTTCCATGTGTAATTTATACAGAATGTCCTACAAATCGATGTCAAGCCAGAAACGGGCGATTGACCAAATCGTGACAGTTATCAGAAAAATATAAAAAAAAATCTTGGTCATGTACTTTTCAAATTACAAGGGTTAAATCTCAAAACTGACAACCTATGTCTTTCAACTCCTGTGACTAAAAAATATGAACTTTTTATCAGTTTTTTTTTTCTGTGATATAACCATGAATAACCCTTCTGTAAATTACAGTTAAAAGTTAAAATATAACTGCCTCAGTTTTAAATAAAATGTTAGTTTTTTGCCCAACATTGAATTCAAAATAATTACATCACCTAAGTTTAACCGACTGTACTGTAAAAAAAATGTACTACACTATTTTGGCAAGTAACACAAAACGATGTCATAGTTAGCCCGGCTAACTTTAGAATTTTGGCTCCGACTACGCAGATTATTAAAAAGCTACGACGAGAGCCATGGTGCAGTTATATTAGTAATATAATTGTAGCACAAATGGGTCGGCTCGACCGGGGAACGACCACGCTCTCACAAAATACCAGTGTAAAATAGCAGCTTAATACTGCTGTGTTTCGTGTGGTGAGTGTAGAGAATCGGAGACCCTTTTTACTGGAAACTAAGCATTCCATCTAAGTGCTCACGGGTGACAACGCATCTGCATTTTGATTCGTAATCGAGGATAGATGTAGATGTCTATGGGCCACAGCAACCACTTACCTTATTTATAAAAAAGAACGGCTACGAAAAAGCTAAGATATGACGGAAATTAAAAACTAAGTCCAAGCAAACTCGATATAATCCGTGGAATCAGTTTTATACAATAGTAAAATTATAAACACACCCCAATGCTGGGCACAACCCCCTTTCATTTTAAAGAGGGTTATGGCTGTCTAATGCGTATTGGCGAAGTTCACATGACCTTAAAATATGTTATTTCTTACACATGCAGGATTGCTTACGACGTTTTCTTTCACCGATTCCTTAACAGGATTAATTAACGAGTCGCGGTAAGAATATCCACTACGACGTATCGTCCGGACGGGCAGCGGCGTCTCCCTAATAACGACTAAAACAAAAAAAACTGTAATAGCCACCCAACCCGCTTGCCAAGCGTGGCAACTATGGCAAATATTCCCCTATGAGCAATCTATGGGGGAGGCATGTGTTCAGCAATGGTCTTTAAAAGCATATGCTGAGACGGAATCCTCTTTGGCATCACATCACTCTTGTTCTTGGTCTTGTTATTTTTATTTATGTTTTCCAACTTGTACCTTGGTGGGTTTTTATGTTCTTACTTACTTTTAAATGTATATTTTGTGAGTGTATTGATGTTCATAAAATGTATGTCTATGTTTATGTCTGTCTATGCCTAAAAGGCTGTAATGGTAGGTAAAGGCTGAACGCCGCGGGTTCGAATCCCTAACGGATCGAGTACAAATGTGGCAATCGTGGCAAACGAGCACATAGTCCACTTTATGGTAAGTGGATGCTGTGGCCCATAGACATCTGCATTTATCTTCAATTAAGAATCAAAATGCAGATGCGTTGTCACCCCCGAGGACTAAGATGGAATGCTTCGTTTCCAGTAAAAAGTCTCCGGTTTTCTACACTCACCATACGAAACACAGCAGCTATAAGCTGTTATTTTACACTGATATTCTCTGAGAGCCTGGTCATTCCCCGGTCGAGCTGACCCATTTGTGCTACAACCATAATATAGCTGCAGTGTGTGTGTTAAATATAATGTTAAAATTAAATTATTAAATCAATATTGTAAATTGATTTAATAACTTAATTTTATACTGACATTGAATAAAACTAATTTTACGGATATTATTTATATTTAGGATTTTTATAAGGATATTATTATTGCGTTTAATCCTATTTCTTCCGTGGCCATCGAAGAACGCGCTAATCAAAAAATAAGTACTGTGATCTGGCGCTAAAAGGGCTAAAGTACGTTTTTGTTAAACAGTACTCAGTAGCACATATTTTATTTTATTAAACAGTATGGAAGTACACATTACATTGGCCTTTTTACGTATTATCCTTTGAAAGACTCAATAAACGGACGCTCTTTTAGCATAAACAAATTTCATATTTTTCAATAATATGGCTTTAAAATCTCATTTCTTAAGGACGCGTTTACAAAATGGATAGGTATAGAATCGCACTACTACATTGACAAAAGTCACACACACACTAGTGTACGCACGGTTGGCTGTGGGAATCGTAGTCAAATGAAATTATTTTGATAATTTGAAAGATTGAATTTGTTTTTCATTTCTTATACCTACCTCAGAAATATACTTCGATACGAAATATGAATACCTGCTCCAAAGACTGCTTGGTACTGGAAGCCCTCTACTGGTAGTGAGATGTTAGCTCTGGACTTTGAACTGGTTTTGTCAGTTATAATAAGACCTTACCTACCTGCGGACTTGATGGAGTGACCTGAAGGTGTAATTTGGTGATTACAACAGGAACTCCTAGACTAGTGGAACTGGGTGTGCCGAGTTTGGGTTCGTTTTGTTGGTTATGATGAGACCTTACCACCGGACTTGATGGAGTGACCTGAAGGTGTAATTCGGTGATTACAAGTGGAACTCCTAGACTAGTAGAACTAGGTGTGCCGAGTTTGGGTTCGTTTTGTTAGTTATGATGAGACCTTACCACCAGACTTGATGGAGTGACCTGAAGGGGTAATTCAGTAACTACTGCTGGAATTTCTGAACGAGTAGAACTAGGTGTGCCGAATTTGGGCTCCGTTTTGTTAGTTATGACGAGTCCATACCTCCGGACTTGATGGAGTGACCTGAAGGTGTAAATCGGTGATTGCAACTGGAACTCCTAGACTGGTGGAACTAGGTGTGCCGAGTTTGGGTTCGTTTTGTAGGTTATGATGAGACCTTACCACCGGACATGATGGAGTGACCTGAAGGTATAGTTCGGTGATTACAAGTGGAACTTCTAGACTTGTAGGACTAGGTGTGCCGAGTTTGGGTTCGTTTTGTTAGTTATGATGAGACCTTACCACCAGACTTGATGTAGTGACCTGAAGGGGTAATTCAGTAACTACTGCTGGAATTTCTGAACCAGTAGAACTAGGTGTGCGGAATTTCACTCCATCAAGTCCGGTGGTAAGATCTTATCGTAACTAACAAAACGAAACCAAACTCGTCACACCTAGTTCTACTAGTCTAGGAGTTCCATTTGTAACCACCTGATTACACCTTCAGGTCACTCAATCAAGTCCGGTGGTAAGGTCTCATCGTAACTAACAAAACGAACCCAAACTCGGCACACCTAGTTCTACAAGTCTAGGAGTTCCACTTGTAATCACTGAATTACACCTTCAGGTCACTCCATCAAGTCCGGAGGTATGGACTCGTCATAACTAACAAAACGAAGCCCAAATTCGGCACACCTAGTTCTACTCGTTCAGAAATTCCAGCAGTAGTTACTGAATTACCCCTTCAGGTCACTCTATCAAGTCCGGTGGTAAGGTCTCATCGTAACTAACAAAACGAACCCAAACTCGGCACACCTAGTTCTACCAGTCTAGGAGTTCCAGTTGCAATCACCGATTTAGACCTTCAGGTCACTCAATCAAGTCCGGTGGTAAGGTCTCATCATAACTAATAAAATAAGCCCAAACTCGGCACACCTAGTTTTACTCTACAAGAAGTTCAAATAGCGGTCGCGAAAGTACACCTTCAGGTCACACCATCAAGTGCGGAGGTAAGGTCTCATCATAACCAACAAAACGAGCCCAAACTCGACACACCTAGTTCCGCTCGTCCAGGAGTTGCAGTAGTAGGTAAGTTTATATATCCTACTTATTTTTAGCGAAATAAAAAACTGTGAGTATAAAAATAATAATTTTATCACTTGTCAAGTACTTATGTTTCCAATTTGTTTTTTTTTTTCTAATATTTTGTGTATGTACAGCGATCTTTTCAGAATGAGCCACTGCAAACAGGCGATACAGTGTCCACTCACGACGGCGGCCGAGCGCGGACTGTGGTTTCATCGAAATCTTTGTACAATAAATCAAAGCAGGCACCAACAATAAAATAGCCCTTATTGCAATACATTATGATTCATCCGTATTACCAAAATATGTGAAAAAATGTGCATCAGTTTTTATTTTTTTTACGACTATTTGTGACATTTTGTTAAAAAATAAACTCAGGGTTTTTAATTGAATATGTCTGTCATCTTATAGTATTTTTTAAATTTTTTAAATATGTTGATAATAGACCAAAACATATACCGAAACACAAGCCGGTATCGTTAATTTTGTAGAAAATGGCAACGAAAGTTCGTTTTTACAATATAAAAAACTACTATTTTCAACAAAAGAGTTACATACATTTGCAGATGAAGAACCAATCTATACATGGTAGTTTTTACTTATATTTGATTTGGTTTAGTTTTGTCACAAAATCTACCGAAAAACACCCTAATTTTGGTTGATTTGCAAACGCGTCCTTAAAGAAACGTACTTTGACCCTTTTAGCACCAGGTCACAGAGTTATATTAAAGTATTCTCATAAATATAAGAAATCATTAATTTACAATACAAATAAAAAAGCAAATTATCCGCAAAGAACTTTGTCAAATCATTTTAAATAATAATTTAAAGTCGCCCGCGGGCCCGCA